GTTTGTTGAACTTACCACCTTCGACCATCTTCATGTTGAACAACTTCTTGATCAAGTACACCTTATTCGTTGCAGATGGCTGTTCATACATATTAGAAAGGGCTACCATGAGAGACATCATCGTCTTCTCATTCTTGAAGTTAAAGGCGACTGATTTTGACAATGTCAATCTGACGGTGCCAAGAGCCTTCCTATCAAATAATTCCCAATCTGCATCCTTTGTATCCTCTGGCTTATCTCCCAAAGGTTGATACAGATTTTTCTGAAACAAGAGGTCTTCAATTTGCATTTTCCAGAAACTGAAGTTTGTGCCATCGAACTTCTCGATCATGGATGTGGATGTCTTATCTTCTGATGTCATTACTCCCACTCGAACGGATAGATTTAATCAAAAAACTTTCAGAATTTTGTCAAACACCTTCTGTGCCCTAGGTTCTTAACCAAAGGCTTTGATACCAGTTGTACTATACAATCAACCGAATTTGATTGCAGTTGTTGTGGCAGAAATGCAAAATAACAACGCACGTTGTTCGAGGAATAATCAAGCAATCACAAAGAAAAAAAATTACACACAAGAACACAAGATATACATGGTTCACCCAAATCTTAGGGCTACGTCCATGGAGCACACCGAACAAATTCATTATGAAAAAGATGAAAAATTACAAGGAGAATTCTCTCTCAATTGCACTCTCTTGTATTGGCACACCCTTTTTCTCTAACTTTCTCATCCTATTTATAGAGTCCCCAAACTTGTCCTATAAGAATTTTCCTTTTGTAGAATTCAAAACCAATAAGGAAGTTAAATCAGATTAAGAAATTGAATTTTCCTTAAACCAATAAGGAAGTCAAATCAGATTAGGAAACTGAATTTTCCCTAATAGATTAGGAAACTGAATTTTTCCTAAAATTCAGTACTCTTGAAGTTTCCAAATAATTAAATCTTTCTCGACTCCACAAAACCACAACAAAAAAGAGCAAAGATGACTTACAAACATTTATTTTTACTATTTGTTCTTTAAGATTCTCACATATAATTTACATTACTAAACTGACATACAGAATGGTTGCTGTACATTTTTTCCCCCTTGATCAGTGGTATATAATTTTAGCGCACAAAACAAAGTGAAGTGATGGATTAATTATATCAATATATTATTAATACTGCATAAATTTGGCTTTTTAGGGACAGAATTTTTGTCTAGTAAGGCACTCTGCAACACTAAAAGAGAAAATAAGAAAAAAATAGAAGTTATCATCAGCATTTAAAATAATTTTGAGGAATGTAAAAAGTTGTGTTCTACATACTCCAGAAATAAGTAGTTGCTTCTTCATTAGTACTCTGGAGCCATTTTCTCATGCTTTTTAGAGTGAGTTCTTAATTTTTATGTTTATGGATTTCCATATTATTAACAGAAGACACTCCCCGTGTCTTCTCACAATCGGCTGACTATTTGTAGGATCCATTACAACAATGTAATTTTAGGAAAGTCAGGTCACTACACTCCAGTCTTAATATATATAATTCTCATTCCATTAAAAAAAAAAATTCATTCTTTTTATTGAAGTACACACTTTCTCTCAACCTTTCACTCTAGAAGCCTTCAAATGGGTCATCTACGGTCTTAAAAAAATGAAAAACAAACAAAATAAAACAAAACAAATAAAATAAAAAAACCAACCCAATAATCCGTTGGGCCGGTCCAAGTTCCACCCTGTAAGAGTAGGTCCTCTATAAATTCTTCAGATTCTCTTTATAAATTCTTCTATTATTATTATGTTTTGTTTCTGAAGGTAATCTTTTATAAATTCAAGATTCTACTTCACCAATGTCATCTGAAGGAGGATGAATAATATCTAAGGCAGTAGTGACCGAGTGACGCGAGGCAACATATGACTCTGGATTCTTCTTATCGCCCTCGTAAATCAGACTAACCCCAAACCTCTTCACCCATAATAAACCTTCTAGTGGCCATTGTCTAATTGTCATTTCCACTTCATCTCCATCTTCCAACCAACAAAGTTTAAGGTCGGCCATTGGTATGTAGGAGAGGCACATTTGTTCAAACAAAATTACATTTACTTTACAATGTGGTCCACGAGACGTCTTGGTTTTATTAAAAATGTAATAGTAAGCCACGTATGGCGCCTCGTCTGGGAGTCTATCAACTCCCTCTCTATGAGAAGCAACACAACAAAAAATAATCGCTTGTAATATCCGACCCAGCTGAGGCATTCGAAAACGCATAAAGTATCCCTCACTCTGGTAGTTGCACCACCTCGGAACCTCACCCCCGGAAATACAAAAATGCAACGCGTTTTCTTGATGTACCTACATTAGACCCATGAACTGAGTTAATTGGTTTCTTATAGTACTACACACATAGCATAGGGAGAGAGTATTGCATTTGTACCTGATCTCTGAGAACATTTCTTCTAAAATTATATGCAGCATTGTTGTTGACTAATTTGGGACAACGCTGAAAATACATGAATTGATAACCTGCTGCTTTTGATTCAATTGACACGCTCTGCAATAATGTGCAGTCGTCTGCCCTAAAAAACTCTAAATTTACTGGAAGGCCTGGAAATGATTCAAGTAGAGTACATTTCTCTACATAGAGATCCTCCAGTCGTGGAAGGCTAGTGATGGTAGCTGGTAGGTTAGAAAATTTGTTTCCGTTAAGATCCAAACATACCAAGGACACCAAACTTCCAATTTCACTGGGCACATTTGTTATATTGTAGTTTTCCATATTTAATTTCCTGATGCTGCTTGACAATTTTAACGACGAAAAGTAGGGCTGCAAATGAACCGAGCTGTTTATGAACAGCTCGGGCTCGGCTCGCTAAGGGCTCGGCTCGGGCTCGTTCGTTAAGTAAACGAGCCGAGCTCGAGCCCAATTTATAGGCTCGTTTAGTAAACGAGCCGAGCCTGAACAATGTTAAGCTCGGCTCGTATGGGCTCGTGAACAAGGCTCGTATAAGGCTCGTTTAGGGTCGTGAACAAAGCTCGTATAAGGCTCGTTTAGTAGCTAATTATAAGTTCTTGATCCAGCCCATATATATGAGACCATTACAATTATACATGATAAGCCCATTTGAAAACCATTACTATAATCTAAATAACAAAGCCTAAAAAAAAATGGCCCATATTCATTTTAAAGACCTAACCCATTTATGTTAACAAACAAACCATATTCTATATTCGAAGTGTTAGCCCATATAATACATTAGTTTGGCCCAATTTACATCCTTTCATTAATAAGGCCCAAGGACCATTAGCCCATCATCAATTAAGGTTGCATCTTAGCCGTTGATTTTGGTACTTTTTAAGTGATAGAATAAACCCTAAAGAAGGCAGTTTCACCACGTATCCATCTTCATAGCTTCACCACATAAACGCTCCGGAAGCCCTCACAAGCAACAGAGTTCCGATAAACTCCAATGCTGGCATCCCTCCCTAAGTCACTCATCACTCCACTCACTGCTGTCATCAGAGGAAGGCAAAAACCATATAAGATCTAATTTTAACTTCTTTATTTGTTTTTTTTTTTCTTCTGTATTTTTTCCTTTTTCTTCTTCTTGGAGATTAAGATCTGATCTCATGAAAGAGAGTTTGTTTAGTTCTTTTCTTGAATCGGGAATTAATTTTACAACTTTGAAATTTTAACTTCTTTATTTGTTTCTTTTCTATTGTAATTTTTCTTTTTTCTTCTTCTTGGAGATTGAGATCTGATCTCGTGAAAGAGAGCTTGTTTAGTTCTTTTCTTGAATCGGGAATTAATTCTACAACTTTGGAATTTTAACTTCTTTATTTATTTATTTTTTTCTTCTATATTTTTTCTTTTTTCTTCTTCTTGGAGATTGAGATTTGATATCGTGAAAGAAAAGCTTGTTTGTTTAGTTCCTGTTATGCAGAGTTAGGAAACAACAATTGGAGGTGCATGTAATCGAGCCCGAGCCGAGCCCGAGCTTCTGAAAAATCTATCGAGCCGATCCCGAGCTTTGCTTAGCCAAGCTCGCCTGATCCCGAGCCGAGCCCGAGCACCTCTCTGGGAATGATGAGCCGAGCCCGAGTAACCCAAAGCTCGGCTCGGCTCGGCTCATTTGCAGCTCTAACGAAAAGCTTGATTCAGGTGGCGATCTTCGAAAAAATGCTGGGCACTCTAATTTGGAGCAACCGGACATATTGAAATTAGAGAGAGACTTCAACCTGAAAATGCTCAAGGGAATCTTCTTAAGATTCTTGCAATTCTTCAGGTCCAAGACAATAAGATCTTTGAGACGTCCAATAGTGTGGTGAACCTCTACCAGCTTTTTATAATCATTAAGCAATAATTTCTCAAGACTGGTGAGCCCAGCGAAGTCCGGAGTTTTAATCAAGAGATAGGAATAACTGAGATTGAGGTATTTCAATTTGCACAAAAACTGTTAGGAACATAAAGAGACAATAAATTTTCAAGCATGTCATTGTATAATTTAAGTAGTTTGAAGCAGATGATTAAAAAAACAGTAGTATCAATGATCATACCTTTGTTCCTCTCCAAACTTGTTTGAGTTTGCTATAGCTCAAGTCAATGGCAACCAGATTATCCATAATTAAGCTTGGTGGTATACATTCTAAAGAAAATCCTTTCCACAATAGCCAAATAAGTCTTCCAAAGATACATTCGTAACTTCCACTTATAGGGACAAAATCGAGTTGAAGCAGTCTCAACCTCTATATCTTTGTAAATGCCTTCCAACTTAGTTGTAGTTCCTTTGATTTAGGGAAGTTCAAGACTAAGCCTTGAACTTTTTTTGTCCCCTGATGAAAATAAAAGTTGTAGGTATAAGAATATAAAAATATATATGTGACATGATGTATAATTAATTCAGGTATTGAGCTCTAACATGTTATTTCTCAGTACATCAAGAATGTCTTCATGATACCATAATCTACTACGTTCACTTGGCTCTTCAGGGAATTCTTGACGGATGATCTCTCTCGCCATGTCTTAAATTAGATCATGCATCAACAACCGATTCTGCTTAATGCTTACAAGGCAACGATGAGATAGAACATCAATATCAGTTCCCGGGAAGAAACCACAGCCTTTTAGTATTTTGATGGGCAAATCATGGTCCATTCCAACAAAAAAACATGCAATATCCAGGAATAAACCCTTCTGTTTATCATCAAGTGAGTCGAAGCTCTGCCTTAGTATATCTTGAACTTTAGGATGAGGAATCTTTTTCAACTTCTCCAATTGAGCTTGCCATTTAGGTACCGCTTTACCCGACAATAAAGAACCTAAAGTTTTAAGAAGTAAAGGAAGTCCCTTCGCATAACACACTAATGCGTCAGTGAGGCTCTCATAACTTTCTAGAGGACAGTCTTTTCTAAAGGCATGGTAACTGAAGAGTTGAAGAGATTCCTCCCTATTCAAATTTTCAAGCTTGTACACCTTATCCACTCGAAGTGACTTTATTGCAGACAAATCTTTAATTGTTACTATGATTCTACTTCCGGGACGTAACCAATTACAATTTATAGCCAAAGCACTTAATTGGTTGTCGTTATCCACATTATCAAGAACAAAAAGAACCCTTCGACGCCATGCTCGACATTTTATCACCTCAATTCCATGATCCCCGCATTCTATTTTCTCATTTTCATCATTTAGGAGATCCGACAGAAGCTGTTTTTGTAATTTAACAACACCGTCGGTATCCCTAGAAGTTTGTCCAACATCATAAAGAAAGCTACTACTTTCAAATGGATGAAAACGATGTATGCGATTATAAAGTACTTTAGCAAAGGTAGTCTTACCAATTCCACCAATCCCCCATACGGTAACAATCCTAACATCATTACTAGTACCATTTGACCCCAACATTAGAAACTTAGTCACTTGTTCAACACTATGCTCTATTCCAACTTGATACTCTGGTACACTTAAGCCTGTAGGATTTAATTTATCTGCCAATGCTTTAACAACCGACTTAATACACGTTGACTCACACCTGTCCAATTTTTATTGTTAAGAAAAAACAAAAATAAAAAAATGAAATTAAGCAAATTTACCGTACAGAGAGGTGAAAATTCAAAATAAATAAGTGATCAAACAGGTAAATGACTTAGCATGCTTTTTTGAAGAGAATAAAGAGAATTTAAGTACCCATTGGCCACATTTTGTAGGACGTAACCGGACAAATTGCTGGCCTTTTCTAGAGCTGACCTCCAAATTTCAACCTTTTTCAAGTCGTACTCCTTTTTGTGACTGGTAAACGCATCTACGTAACAACCGCTCTGTGATCAAACATTAGAAGGTTCGACGTCATAGAAGATGGAAATAACAATCTGATTGAGTGTCGTCTTGCAATCCATGATCTTGACAAGCTCGTCAAGGCACCATTTTGAGGATGCGTAGTTTTTCGAGAATACGATAATGGAAACTCTTGATTCCTCAATTGCTTTCAACAATTCAGGACCAAGTTCTTCACCTCTTGGGAGTTTAGTGTCATCTCTGAATGTGTAAAAACCATGCTGATCCAAAGCAGCCAAGAGGTGACCAGTAAATGTCTTGCGAGTATCAAGGCCGCTGAAAGACAAGAAGACATCGTGAACACATGAAGCTGCCATTTTTAAAGCTCAAACAGCTTTGATCAAATCAAAAGAAAGGAAAGGAAAAGGAAAAGGAAAGAAAAGAAAGGTCGGGTTTGTGCTTGAGAGAGGGCATAGCCCTGACTTATATATAGATCAGAAAATGAGTTTCATATCCTATTTTTCCAAGCATCTATTAATTGAAAAGACTTCACATAATAAAAGTCTCACACACACTATACGTGTGGAGCCACTAATACTCGTTTTGGAAAAAGATGAATGTTTGCCCACTTGACTTCTTGGCTGGTAGCATCTCGAATCAACAAGAAATGTCAAGGAAATGACATGGAAATGCTTTAAAATATCTCCCACCCATAGAGTAAGTAATTCTATTCTAACAGAAAGATTAGTGGGTTATTTAGTAAAACTAAAAGTTGATTATTGAATATTTGGAAAGGTAAAATTTAACTGTTCAAATTTTAAGTAATAGATTGCATTAGGTGCACTGGTGGGATTAAATCATAGAATGAACTTATTATTGTACTGAACTCAGGAGCATGACAAAAATAAACAAATATTTAACCACAATATAAGACATAAAAGAAAGTGTGTCAAATTTAGATCAGCAAATATAGATAAAGATACTTACAAAATATTTCTTGAATTTGGTAAAACAACGAAAAGGGAACAAAGTTTATAATACAAAAGTAAAGGTGATTTTCACTCATCATAACAATTTCAAGTACGAACTTGGATTCTTTTACTTGTAACTTCAATTCATCTTGTATGGTTGTAAAATAATAATTTTTTTTATACGTATTTAGCTATTGCATGTTATGTATTGGACTATAATTTTTATTTTTAAATAAAGTATTGCACTAAATAATCTCTAAAAAAACAAGAATAATTTTCACTGATCATAATAATTTCAACTACTCTTCAAACACAAACTTGAATTCTCTTAATTCTCTTACTAGTAAATCCAATTCATCTCATATTTTGTAATATTATATATGCGTCAATTATATTGCTTAGATTATATTAATACTTTCTTTGTGCCAAAATAAGTGTCATGTTCTTCTTTTTTATCTATACCAGAATAATAGTTCATTTTTTTTTTTCAAATAATATATTTCACATTATTTCATATATGTTCTTTGAATTTAAAATTTCAAAATGTTAGATAATTTTTTATATTCTACTAAATAATCTAAGGGGACCAAGACATAATTTCTTTCAGGCTTCCTTGAAATTTAGCGAAAATCAACACCAAGAAGATTGGGTCTATCCATTTGACATGACATTTAAAAAATATCCTTGACTTACTTACAGTGGTCCTTTGGTAATAACGAAGAAGAGGGTAGAAACAAAATGGGGGAAAATCAGCTCCAGTTGCATAGTGCACAATTTCCTCCATTTTGGAATGAGTGGAGGAGAATTGGCCACATCACTTAAAAAAGTGGATTAAAAAAAAGTAACTGCACACTGTTGAAGTTGTATTAAATGTGTGTAATAATTTGTATATTTGTGTAATAATATGGTATAGGTTATATTTATACGTCATATTGTCCATTTAGCCCTTACTTTGTATAGAATTGTCCATTTAGCCCCTAGCCCTTACTTTACAGAATTTGTAAAGAATGCAAAGAAGAGAAAGAAGGAAGAAGGTTTGCGTGGGAAGAAGGTGCTTTGTTGCGTGAAGAAGGTTTGCGTGGGTCTGCGAAGAAGAAAGAAAGAAGAAGGTCCTGTGTTGCCCTTTTATAGTTAAAGAAAACCATAACCTCTCTTGTGCATGTGACGCTTGGGTCTGTGAAGAGAACCATCCCTACATTGAAAAAAACCCTAACCTCTCTTTCCAAATAGAAGCCGGAAGCATCGATTGTTCTGTGAATGAACCCAAATTTTGGTTGCTAAACCTAAGCAGGTACGAATAATAATTTTCAGATTTGATTTTGAAAGGAATCGTCTTATTTCCATAAGAACTAAATGGCAAAAACAAATATAATTAGTAAGAATATATAGACACATTTTTGGTAAGAAACCCTAACCTCTCCTTCCAAATAGAATTCGGAAGCAGCGATTATTCTGTGAATGAACCCAAATTTTGGTTGCTAAACCTAAGCAGGTATGAATCGTAATTCTCAGATTTAATTTTGAAGGGAATCGTTTTATTTCCATAAGAAACAAATATAATTAGTAAGAATATATAAACACATTTTTGGTAAGAAACCCAGAAATAGAAAATTATTGGTGAATTTGAATTGATGGCTTTTTTAGTATGCAGTTATTAGGGGTATGAGTGTTTGTTTGTGAGGATAAAAAATGGAAGAATTTGTAGAGTATATGTGTGGCGCAAAAAGAGTGTTTCAGAGTGTTACAATGTTAAGAAAATGTTTGGTCGTTGGGCTTGTATCGCAACATTTTCCTAAGTTGCATCCCAAATTCATCCTAATAAGCATCCCAAATTCTTCCTTATCTGCATTCCAATATTTTTGTAAAGTGAGTCACAGAATTTTCCTAATGTACATCCTAACATTTTCGTAATATAAATCCCAAATTATTTGTAAATTGTAACCTAACATTTTCCTTTGAAGAAAACCCTATCCTCTCTTCTGCATATGAGGCTTGGGTCTGTGAAGAGAACCATTGCGACATTGAAGAAAACCCTAACCTCTCTTGCTCTTTCTTTGATTCAAGAAAACCGAAGCCTCTGTCTGACCTTTTCTTCCTCATTCCTTTTAGGTGATTAAAGAGACCTCATAACCGATCGCCCTAAAAATCCACAAAGTGCAGAAGTTATTTATTGTTGATTTGGAGTCCTGCTTTCATCAATAGTAAGCGGATGTTTCAAAAGTCTGAAGTTCTGTAGTTGGGTGCGTGTGAATTGGCCATTTTTAGTTTAATAATGCTGCCTAATGTGTTGAGCATAGTAGATGAGGTGCCTGATGTTTGCATTCACATGTGTGCAATAACATACATACGACATCGTAAATCATAAATGTATTTGATTTCGTAATTTTTTAGTGATTAAATTGCTTATCTTCACTGCAGTTGAGTTTTGAGCATAATTTGCTTTGGTCTTTCTTGGTGATGATTTTGTTTATATTTAAAATTTGTCACATGTATATGATTATAATGTTAGTGTCTATAAATTTGGTTTATAGTCATATAATTTCTGTCCACTTAACTTATGTTACATACACATTTTCATTTTTGCGTATTTTCTTGTTAACAAATTGGGTAAAAGAGCCAGTATGCCCTGATTTGTTGATATTACCTATGTAATATGTCTTCCTAGAGAAAAATACTATGTTTAGATCATGCACTCCGTATATTTTGCTGTGTAGTAAGAGTATTAGTTTTGAAGTGGCTTGTTTTAGGGAGTAAGAAAATACAACTTTGTCAAATAATCCACTATTTATTTTTGGCTAATATCTTTCACAATAATTGTCTTCATATTAGTGAATCAGTCTCCAAATACACAACACTTGTCTAAAATCTTGTTATTTGTACACATGTAGCTTAATGAAACTTCATGCTTTGACAGATTGTGTAATAGTGATATTAGTATTTTTTATTGTTGGATTGAAAGGAAATGCTTATGTTGGACATGTTTCAACAATTTAATTGCAAAATACTGATGCATTGTGTTATATACTTGGCAGTTAACATATTGTTGCTATGTAGCATGCAATGTACATCAATAGTCTCTGTCTATCATATCTAATTGTGGCTTGAATTGAATTTAGGTTTTCAAATGGGTAGGTTGAAGACTGTAGCGCGTAGCAAAGGGAAAGGGAAAAGGAATATTATACCGGTTCTAAAGAAGATAAGTATCCCGAAGAGCGGTGAGGTTGGTGAGAGTTTGAGAATGTCGTCTGAGAGCGATTCTGATTATGTGCCATGTGAAGAGGAGGTACATGAAGAGGAATATGAAGATGATGATAAAGAATTTGAGTCGAAGGCAAAGACTACTACATCCTCCAAGACCAAAGAAACTATGCCGCGTCGTCCTGCTGGAGTGTTCGTTATGTTCAAGTATGTATGTATTAATGTTAATTTTGCAATTGAAATTTGGTTTGAAGTCTAAAGTCATGGAAAAGTAGGAACAAATTGGGAAGTTATATGAAATTTTTAGTTTTCTGAAAATAGAAGATATATGAATTTGAGAGTGGAGAACATAAAAAGTAACTTGTGATGTATATGTATTTAAATCCTTATGCTTGGTTTACTAATGGTTGATCAGAGCGGCATATATGAGGAAATACCGAGAAGATCATGGATTGACGGATAAAATCAAGATGTCTCTAAAAAGAGAAATAGAGACTGAAGCTACGCATGTATGGAAAAGAAAGAGCAGTGAAGAGAGGGCCTCATATTTTGAGGAAAAAAGTAAACTTAAAATGGAGTTCCAAAGGTCCGGATGTAAAGTTGTAAATAAAAGAAGGAAAAAAGGTAATGTGTTAAATCGAATTATTTGTATTTATTTCATTTAACATAGACTTGAGAATTGAATTATAATGTTATTAGTTTTTCAATGGTATAGAAGAAGGCAGAATACAAGATTAAGACCGGTTTCCACATAAGCTCCATTCAGAAATTCATAGAAATAGTTGCGAAATTGAACTTTGAGAAGAGGAAGGATGTGGAAGATCTCGATTTTGGATTTCTGTTGGACCTCAAGTGTTCCCATTTGTCGACCCCACTCTTCAACTACTTGATAGAACAATTTGACGTTGACAAATGTGGCATAAAATTGAAGGGTAATCAGTTGTTGCCCATAAATGCGTTTGAGGTGTGTTGCCCAATAATTAACTCTAGAGGGGGGTGAATAGAGTTAATGGCCAATTTTCACAATTTATAAATATGATTACTAACTAGTCTCTTAAAAGAATTATGTAATAACCAAATAAACTTGATAATCAATTCAAAGCATAAAAGTAAAAGAGATAGGGAAGAGAAATTGTAAACTTTGACTCGGCAATTTTAGCGAGGTTCGGAAACTCCTACTCCTCGGCTCAAGACTCCTCTTGAGACTT